GTAAATCCCCCCCCCCCCCCCTCTCAAAAGTTAAATAGGCAGCCCCTTACCGTCGGCTAAAACAATCGGTTTTTCACAAGTTCTCTTCGAGGCCTTTCATTTGTTGACTCCAGTAACTGCTACTGTTGATCGAGGCAGACGACCGATTTTAATTTTTAAAATTCCTACAGTACATGACTCAGAATATTCATATTAATTCTTAATACTTTATAGTATTGCAAAATCACTGTCCGAAAGTGATTGCTAAGACCGATCGTAATCAATGTAATGTTATTTTTCGTTGAAGTAAGTAAACAAAGGCAATTTTCAGTTGAAGACTTCAATTTCTGTCGTTAAGAATTGATACTGACCAGCAAGAAGGTTCTTTGCTTGTTCACTACCATAGACATAACCAGGAGGAAGTTGATATGTGTTTCCAAAATTGCTGTATGAATGCTGATTAAATTGAGGATTGTTACAAATATACAGACCATGACCTCCACCAAAGGTTGGTCCATAACTAGAGAGACAGCAGATTGCATACTGCTTCTGACCTTGCTTGATGTTGGCAATAAATGGAGAAAGGTTGTCTTTGTTGCGTAGCGAGAATAAAAATGACGAGTTGGAACGTTTCCAAGCACAACCTTAAAATTGAACAAAATTAATTATGAAAGTTTAATAAAATATTTATTCGCTCCTATATTTACTTTTGGATATGATCGGGATAATTTTCACCCAATCGACCATACTCACAATTCTGAACCATACTCACAATTTCACGACTATCATCGTATGCGTTCACATGGGACACATGAAACTGGACGAATTCAAACACATCTATAACCCTAGAAATTGCCGTGTAAACAAATGGAACTGAACGAATTTGCGTACGGTTTCGAATTCGTCTATTGTGCGAACATATAGTCTTAAATAGCATTAAACCAGTTTGTAGGACAAATATATAGCTCTCATAAATGATGCAAATATTAATGTTTAATAAATCTTATCTTACATACTTGATTCCCAGTTTTCGTCAGTGTATCCTCCAAAAATACAATCATTGGCTTTAGATAAAACCACTGTTGGTCCTTTATTTTCGCAATGTTTGTGAAAATCGTGGGGACTCCAACCATCTCTGGAAGCTCTGTAACAAAGATTCCATTTACACTTCTCTCCCAACCATTTTTGTAGTTGTTTCATGAACACAATCTCTCCTTTCAAAATACTGGAAGACGTTTTCAAATTATCTGGTACAGCTTCATTAGCTAAACCATGACCTAAATAATTAAACCTAGGTTAGCTAGCAAGCTTGCCAAAATCCTAGCAAAATCATCGTAATAAGATTGTAAGATCCTAATTGTTATGATCTTGGTAAGATTATGACATCTTTCAAAGATCTTTGTGCAACCACAACCTCGTGCCCAGGCTCTTTCCTCTACACTCCTCGCCTGGAAGAAAAACCCTGGTCCCTGGTCACGTATATCTGCCAGATTTTGGGAGATAACAATTGAAACTTATGGGGGGTGGCTAAGGCAAATTTGGCGTTCGAGTTGCTAAACGAGGACAAAATACAAGAATAAAGCAACATAAAGGACTACAATGAAACGAAGTTTTCGTTAGCATGTATTTTTCATAAAATATGTTATAACTGTTATTCTAAGAGACGAAGTTGTTAATAAGGCTTGGCTGGAATTTTGAAATTAAACTCTTATAAACATTGAGTTAGTATTGTCGATATAAGTATGTCCTTGTCGAAGCCTCACTCAACAACACAAGCCTCGGGTTCAGGTTAAAATCGACAAGAGAAGGCAGAATCTTGCACTGAGAAAATTGCTGTTGACTGTTGTATTTGGCAGAACATTTATTTAACCAGAATCATGATTGAATTTTACTTCACATTCGTGAGCTAGCGATTAAATAACCGCTGTTCGCGTAAAGCACTGTGCAGGTCGATAACCGTCGATTTTCCAATTTTGCTGGCCTATCCTATAGCTTGTGAAACCAACTGTTTTGACATGGTCTAGTTTTGTAGTATGTGAACATTTCGCCCCGTATTCACCTCGTCATTGATTGTCAAGTTGTAAAAGAAAGATATACTACGATTTTCAAAGAAAGATATACTACGATTTTCAAAATTCAATAACTGAACAATCATGTTTAATGAAGAACAAATAAGTACATTAATAAATAGTGTATTTAACTCGATATTCTCCATAGTAAAGCCTTTATTTCAGTTGGGTTTATAGGAGCAATTTATTTGCAATCGATTGTTTCCCAATGGTTTATGGTTCTCTTATAGTGTAATATGATTGATCTTTACATAAAATTGAATATAATATATTGCGCGTGTCCTTGTCCGCTTATGATTACAGTTTATGGCAATTTACGACTCGCATTGCCTGCTAGGCAAATGTTCTTGGCTTGTCCTTGAGTATATTACAAATCCTTTCCCAGTACTTCTTTGCGGTTTTGCACTATGTAACTGAAAAACTCCAGTATTTTATACAGGCCTTGCGTAGCGACATCGCAAACGCAATAATCCAGAAAGAATACATATACAAAGTTCTATTTACTTTATTGACTGTTTCTTTCGAAGCCGATCTCACCCATTGACTCTGATTTTGCAACACAAGCTCTTGCTACTAATTAAAATTGTTGAATTACACTCGCTCTGAACTTTATCGAATTGGTTGCAGTAATGGACCATTCCCCAATTAACCAAAATTTTGAACTCAACAGGTCTAGACAAAAATTTCATCACACCTTGAAAGAGCATCACAAAATTAATAATATTCCAAAGTTTCGTTGCAAAATGTTGTAAAATGCGGATAATATAGCCTTGCGAAGTTTGCAATTTTCAGTCATTTTAGATTACAAACGGGAAATGGTTACCACTTCTGTGCGTAAAACAAAATGACTGAAAATGACAAACTTCGCAAGGCTATATTCGCATTTTAGAACATTTTGCAACGAAACTTTGGAATGTTACTAATTTTGTGATGCTCTTTCAAGCTGTGATAAAATTTTTGTTTAGGCTATAGTTAAGATCAAAATTTTGGAAAAGTGGTAACCATTTCCCGTTTGTAATCTAAAATGACTGAAAATTGCAAATTTCGCAAGGCTATATTATCCGCATTTTACAACATTTTGCAACGAAACTTTGGAATATTACTAATTTTGTGATGCTCTTTCATGCCATGATGGAATTTTGTCTAGACTTGTTTAGATCAAAATTTTGGTTAATTGGGGAATGGTCCATTATCTCTCTGTAGCGCAGTTGCACTGGAATCGCAGGGCCGCAAGTTCGATCTCTTTTCTACTGATCCTATAGATTTGATTGCTTACCGTCCCTATTTTTATTGCTCGCTTTATTGTTAGTAAAAATGGCGTCCGTTTCTAAAGTTCTTGCTTCTTGAAATGTTCTTGTGTTGTGGCAATGTCCACTGATAACACCGTGGCCATTTCTGACCAATGTCATGCAAGAAAAATTATTTTCCTACCTACCTACCCTATTTCTATCAGGATATGAGACCGGAACCACATGCAGGATATTTTTTGTCGGGCCTCCGTACAAGGCCCACAAAAAATAATACTGTTTGAGTACAAGATTTAAATTACAGTATGTCAGATTTTTAAAGACAGTAAAACAAGCTACAATCAGTTTCAAAAGTCTTGGGACAGATGCCACAAAACGTTTGAATTTCAACAAACGTCAATCCCCCTGTTCAATGTTGTGTCCCATTTCTCGTCAGGTTTGATGTGTTTTGGTTTAAACAACATTGATTGGGGGAGGAGGAGGACAACTTGCATGTTAGACTAATTTTTTATCTATAGGCAAATTAAGAAAAGTAAATTCCCGTAAAGAACTTATTAAAATTAGTAAAATTGCAAAATTTGGTTGTAAACGAAATGTTGTAAAATACGGAAAATATAACCTTGCGAAGTTTGCATATTTTATATATATATGTTTGTATTACGTGCGGAAATTGTTACCATTTTTGAGCCCAAAATGGTAACAATTTCCGCACGTATACAATCATTTACAAAATTGGCAAACATTGCAAGGCTATATTTTCCAAGCTTTTCGCGACCAAATTGTGCAATTCTACTAATTTCATTGCGTCCTTTTTAGCTGTGATGTTTGATTCATAGATATCTTATATACACTAGATAGCGCATCTCTTTTAGTAAAATTGAAACCAAGAATATTCCAGCGGTTACCTCCATTTGAATAGATGGCGGCCATGTTGGTCGTTCCCACTTGCTAATAAACGCTTAAAAACAACAATAACTTTCATCATTTGAATAGTTTAAAAATGTATTTGGAATAGGGTTAACTTAATATTTAAGTTCCCTGTTTAAGAAATAGAAAACATACGAATCTGAGACTGCAATCACGGCTTCAATTTTTGAATTGCAGAATAATTAGATGCACTATCTAGTGTATATAAGATATAAAAAATATCTTATATACATATAAAACATCTCTATATAATAGCGTCAGCATATAGTCAATTTAGAAGACATTTGGATTGTGTATGGCATTACTGAGATCGACTGTTATATTATTTTGTATAGAATCCAGAGTTCCTGACTGCTTCTGAAGCCGCTGAGAAATTACGTGATTTTAAGTTAAGGTGAGTTCCACAATGTTTTTTCTCTCCTTAATACTATTACAGATATAGGATGATGCCTCAAAGGATTCGCCCCTCAAATATACACCCTCGTTTTTGAGAGGATTTAAGAAGCCCCGTTTCACCATGCATTTATAATGGAGAGAAGCATGTATACTCATATGATTTATTAAAGGAACACCGAATGGTTTTCCGTGCAGGATCCATGTACGAGGGATGTCGCGAGACTTTCGGAAAGCGTAATAATACTCGAGCCGGGCAACATCCCAAGTGCATGGATCACGCTATCCTGCTTGGAAAACCATTTGGTAATTGTTTTATAAAATAACTACAGTGAAACAATAACATTTTGAGAATCCCGCGAAGGCATTTTAATTCCTCGTGCAGGATAGCCTGATCCTGCACGGCTATTGACCAATCAAATTGCGTGTTTCACTGTAGTTATTATATAATAATTTTTCACGGTATAATGGATACCGTGTTTTCATTTTTGCAAGTATGTTAATGTTGAATATGTTTGCTGGAATTAACAGTACACTGTATATGTTTGAATAAGGTTCTATATTATATTATATCATTATATAGCGTAGAGCCCTTTGGGTAAATCAATCGTCTCCATACCTTCCAACATGTCTGATATATAGACAAGGCCTGGGTGTCTTTATAGGCAGCGTTTACACTGTACCGTTTTCGTAGCGTTCTCGTATTGTTCTTAATCCTCAAGGGAACGCAAGACAATAGTCTAGTTCTCTCGAACAATACGAGAACGCTACGAAAACGGTACAGTGTAAACGCTGCCATAGAGGATGTATGGTACCTGCTAAATTTATATACAGGGTGTCTCAAATGGAAATTCACTAACAAGCTGCCGTGCATCATAAACGTGGCTATAAACAATTCGATTTTTACATAGGACGAAAGAACAGTTATATAGCTTTTCAACGATACTCTTTTAAAATCGCAACGATGAGAAATGGCCTGCACATACTCGCCAAATAAAAATTGCCGGTCGAAATCACATTCTTCCACCGTTGGGAATTGCATAGAAAACGAAACATAGACAATTCCCAAGAGGGAATTAAAAGTGAATGTTAAATTATCTAAAATGAGCTCAACTCGTCAATCTTTGTCTTAGTGAGACAATAAGAACGTCCATTAAACATGGTTCAATTAACCACTGAAAAGAGAACATTCGTAGTCAAAACGTTTTACGAAACAAATAGCTTGCAGCAGACTGGCGTTGCTTTTGGATTGATTAACTTTGCATAATTAATGTATTTTCAATTCCCAACGGTGGAAGAATTTGATTTCGACTGGCAATTTTTATTTGACGAGTATCTGACCATTTCTCATCGTTACGATTTAAAAATTATATCATTGAAAAGCTAAATAACAGCTCTTTCGTCCTATGTAAAAATTGAATTGTTTAGCCACGTTTATGATGCACGACAGCCTGTTGGATTTCCATTGCGTTTTGGGGGGTCACCCTGTGCTTTTAAGGTGGCTCCATACAGTTTCTTGAAAAGTGGAAAGGACGTATTTCAGACCAAACATTTTTGCACATTGATATTTTAATAGAAGAATGAAACCAGATGTCTTGTATAAAACAGTATTTTGAGAATCAGAAACTGTAACGGAAAAGTCCGTAACTGTGGTTACTATGGCAACAATGACGTTTCAAAATGGCTGCTAATTTGCATTTGAACTAGTTTAATTCTTCTAGTATGAGCAATAATTTTCAAAAAATTCTGTGGATCCAAAAATTTTTGTCAGGAATAAACACGTTTTTTCGATTTGAAAAATTTTGGATCTACAGAATTTTTTTAAGAATTGTCCTAATAATTGCTCATACTAGAAGAAAACTTTAAATAAAAGCTGGGGGTCACCGACGTTGTTTTCGAATTAAACTAGTTCAAATGTAAATTAGCAGCCATTTTGAAACGTGATTGTTGCCATAGTAACCACAGTTACGGACTTTTCCGTTACAGTTTCTGATTCTCAAAATACTGTTCTATACAACACATCTGGTTTCATTGTTCTATAATAATGTCAATATACAAAATTTTTTGGTCCGAAATGCGTCTTTTCCACTTTTCAAGAAACTGTATGGAGCCACCTTAAGCTGAAGCTATCTTCGGTAAGGCGTGTTATAATATAACCTGCTTCTTGTATATTAGACTTCAATATGTTGGCCAACGTTGTCAGATGTATATCAAACAACTCAAAATGGCGTTGAATGAAAAATCAGGCAAAAAAGACGAAGAATATAAAGTCAAAGTGATAGCTCTGCGAACAACATCTAATATTCATACTTTAATAAAGGTAAGTTTTAACCTGATCGATTTGGGATACATGGTTTTCATTTTTGTACAAATGCTGTACTAAAAAGCTTGTATGGAGGCATGTGAAACATATAAAGCGAGAGAAGGAGATAGTCATGTGTGTAAAATTCAGTATCCCTGTACGCGGCGTTTCGTCCTTCATGGACTCGTCAGCAGGGATTGGGGTTGGCAATTGTGTGAGAAAGACAGAATATAGAAGCCGATTTGGAATAAAGTGAAAAAACATAAAAATTAGCAATATGTGCATATGACTATTGTATAACGTAAAATGTAAATTGTCTTACCAAAATCGTTGTTGAGTTCGGTCAATAATTATTACTATTAGGTACAGGCCTTCGAGGCTGATGTAGTAAAGATATGGGGAAAAGAATCAAATCTGAAAAGAAGGGGGGGGGGGGAGAATCAAAGTTCATTGAAGAATATACACCCCTGATTATTTGACAAAATGTTTTCTTTTGGGC